TGATATTACTAATTACCTCAGTCCTCAAATGCTGAACTATGTAAGGATCTGATGAGCAACCAACACACTAAAAATCTTATTGAATTCCTTTATAGGCTTCGGGCTTCTGATCACAATCATTCAACGTGCTGGTGTGCCTACTTTAGGCGTAGCTTTAAATTTGGGGTTGATATATTGGTACATTGTCCCACGGCAAATGTCTGGATAGATGATTAATTTGCTCTTTCATGGTGAAAAGGAAACTGGGGCAGTGGCACATAATGAGTTAATTATTTGCTTAGCCTTGGTTTCCAAAATAAACTGAATGATGAACAGTCCCCTCTAGTTTAGAAATATTTGGGGGCTACCTTCATCCATACATGGATTATGTATTTCTAAATATGATTTGTCAGCTAGTTTAATACAAAAAAACATTCTAATGTGTATTTTTGTTTACATTGGTTTTGTGTCCTGGTCTCGAACGTGGTGCAACCTTACCTTACTTTTTCGCCCAATGCCATCCCATGGATAGATCACAGAATGGACCTTTCATTGTGAGAAGTAAACTGAGATAGTGGCATGTAACAAGCTTTTTATTTGCTTACTCTTGGTTTCCAAAAGAAATAGGATGGATGATGAACAGTCCTCTCTATTGTAGAAAGAATTGGGGTCTACCTTCATCCATACATTGGTCATATACTTCTATCTGTAACTTACCACCCCCTAGTTGAATACAAAACATATTCAAATCTGGATTATTTTCTTCACAAAGGAATCAATATGATGTCCTGTTATCCCAATTCCCAGTCTGCTGATATACTGATACCTGACTACATGTACATCTAGGAGAAGTATGAACCTTTGAAAAGCATGCCAAGTCTAATCTTAAGTGGGATTGCTTGGATTTTAATTGATTTCTTTAGCAACTGGTTTGGTTGGCATACTTCTAATAGTGCAGTACCTGAGTACTTCTACATGGATATATCATATATGTATGAGCAATCTCTGATGCATGAATTCAAAACTAGGAGAATGTATTTTAGGTTTCAAAAACTCTTATTTTATGTATCCCAGTCTTCAAGAATAGTGGTGTGAAAGAATTACCCCTTCGTTGTAGTGTAGAAAGAGTTGGAGATCAGACACTCAACCTTACAGTTTTTTAAAGCCCTATTATTATATTAGTATAGATCACATCTATCCTTCCTTTCCTGTATGATGTATCTGTGTATTGCCATTGATATCTGTTGTCTTTAAACAGTTAAGTTTTATGGCCATGAGAAAAATGTGGATAGTAGTTTGCCCATCAAAACTGATAAAGATACACTGAGAGAAGGATACAGGTCAGACTGATGTCTGTTAAATGTTCATGGTACAACATATGCATGTGCCCTGTGGTTTTGGGAAACTCGTAAGTGCCTCACTTTACTTCTATCATGTAAAAGGTTCATTCTTTCCGAGGAAGATGACATGGATTCAACTTGGGAGAAGAGGCTGGTCAAACGTTACTATGACAAGCTTTTTAAGGAGTATCCTTTTTTTTGGTATATTTGATATTGTTTTGTTTTTTCTGGAAGGACATGTCAGTACATGACATATTTTTCAGATAAGTTTGTGAAGTAACATGTTCATATATGCTGAAGCTAATGTTGTTAAATGAAGATATTTAATAGTTTGGTGATATAAATAGGCATAAGTCATGTGAATGTTATCATATGAAGGACATGTATCTGTTGGTGACCTCTGCATTGCCACATTCTTCTGTGTTAGGCACTTCATAATTCGTACTTTCACCTCATGAACTTATGCATTCTGTCAGCTAGGATTGATTGATGCTTGTCTACATGGGAGTTATATTTTATGGGTTGTATTATTCCTTGTAATTTTTGTAAGGTTTAACTCTGTTGTGCTTAGGGTCCTTAACATGAGGCAGGTATTGCATTGCTGACATGACGCATTACAAAAAAGGCAAGGTGTGTTCCTTTAACCCTGTGTCATACTATTCTTGATGTAAACACTTAGTTTTTCCTTCACTCTTGAATGCCATGGAACAGAAAGAATCTTTGTAGCGTGACTTTTAGAGGGGCCATTATGTACTTTTAGAGAGTGTTTTCGATGTACGGGCAAGATTGCAAGAATTATATCATGCCAATTGTGATACTCTTTCAACTTGATTTCATATTTCATAAATTAATAAATGGGCAGTAATAGCTGTTCTCCTTGGTTTTGGATTTGTGTCAATGTGCATATCGCAATAAGCATGCTTGCCACACCCATTTTTAATGTTTATGATATGGCAGGCATGCACAAACACTGGTTATCAGAAGTGAAAACAAGTAGTAGGCATATGACAGTCATTCATACTCGTGATAGGATGATGAATGAGTGTCCAACTACATTTTTTGTTTCTGAAATGATCTGTAGTTTTGGATGTGAATTGCATGTTGTAAGGGCATTTTCTGCTGCAGATTGGATTGAGATGGAGAACAGAAAAGGAGGTGATATCTGGCAAGGGTATTATTCAGTAATCCTGTCAGTTAAATTCCATGTAAAATGGTTTACCGGAAAACTATGGCTGAACTTGGATCGTATGAGTATTCTGTTGCTAGTAACAGACCTTTAAAATGGAAGTCTAGAACTTAAAAGGGTTTTTAAAGAAACTATATCAAACTATCAATGTTACTGAGCTTAAAGGGTTGCTTGTTACACTTAGCAAAGTACAGGTGGGGGTTTCTTGCATCGAACAACCTCAAACTCCAAAATAGATCTGAACTGAATTCTTGTTTTTGAAAGCCATCGTTGTAGTTTTCTTATATTATTATGCTTATATACTTATCTGTAACAAGAACGCAGAAAGTTCTCCGAGAGATCAGAAATATATATTCTTGCAAACATGATCTGCTTTTTTGTTGATCAGTATAAATAATATTTCAGTAATAACCAGAATATGCTCTTATGCAGGACAATTTATCTGTGGTAATAGGCATTGTGATGAAAAATATGGTCTAGGTAGTTATGAGGTATGCCATTTGCTAATATCTTCTTGTTGATACTAAAATGTGTACAATGCATTTTTTTTCCCAAAGAACTGTTTTAGCTGTATTTGTAGCCCTTACCTTTTTTTTTTTCTTTATCTCATGTTCAGGTCAATTTTTCTTATGTTGAAGCAGGGGAACAGAAACAAGCACTAGTGAAGTTGGTAGCTTGCAAAAGGTTAGTGAGTCCGTTGTTCCGTGATAGGATTTGTTTGGAACAGTCTTTAACTATCATTGCTGTACTTTCTTGTTATGATATTTCTTTAATTAAGCTTTTCCATGGACCACTGAGTCCTACTCTGTCTTTCCTGCCTTCTTTTTGTTCAAGCAAGCATTCAATTGGTTATTTAGCCTGATTGTAGTACATTATGAAAGATGTGCAGAAAAGCTTGCTTATAAGAGGCAAAAGGAGAAAGAGAAGGAAAATGAGCTCTCTGGTGAAAAGGAAATTGAATTGAAAGACAGCGACAAGAGAAAGAGGTACTTCTAGTTCTTCTCCGCCCCATTATATTTTTTTTACCCTATATTCTTTAATTTCGCTTTTCAAACTGCAGAAAACATGAGCAAAATGACGATACCTCGGAGGACGAGGACGAGAAATATAGAAGAAAGAAAAAAGGTATCCATGATTGCCGAAACCTTTTGTGTGGTTATGAACTATGATGCATTTTGGGGCAGGCGTATTATGCTTAATTAAGGGCTTGTTTGGCCCCAAATTAAAAAACTCAGGCTGATAAACCCAAACATGCTTTTTATTACATCCCTGTGGCCTAACCAGCCATACGGTAGATTGGTAGACTGATAATTTTGGAGCGGTGGGTGAACCCTTCTGGCACTGAAAATGAACTGTATAGAATATGGTAGGGAAAAAGAAGTCAGAAAATTAAAATGATAAAAAAGATGGTGTGGTTGTGGTGCCTGGGGCCCATCGGGGCAGCAACAAGGTGTGCCACATATCTGTAGAGAACATACATATGGTTGGCATTAGGCTCACTAGAACTTGTGATGGCATTGAGCTTTGTCGATTATTCCATGCTATGTATACTTGTGTGTTTTTTTTTCCTTTGGGATTTGAGGATGCAATAAATTCTGGTAGCCAGAAACTCACCCTTGCAAACAATTCTGCAGACCGGAGTGGAGCTTCTTCAAGGAGTTCAGGGAATAATGACGAAGGCTTCGAGGAGTACCTCGAAGGCATGTTTCTGTGATCTGATTCTTAGTGGTTACTAAAGTGAAGGTGGCTATAGGAAAGAAGGCTCCTTGATATCCATCGAAGAAAAGATGGACGGATCTTGCAACAACACCGTAGTGTTGGAGTAGCAAGTCAGTTGCAAACCCGACACTCGATGTGCTTTGACTACAAAGTCATGCAAGTGTGCTGTCTGTAATTATGTGTCTGCTTTGTTTCGTTTTCGCGTCGCTTTCACTTTCAGAATAATGGGATGCCTCTTAGTCAAAGTCTCAAAATGTTTTCTGTAGCTAGTTTTCTGCTGCAAGAATTATGGTTACTCGGCTTCTCTGGGTGTTAAAATTTGCCTAGTTTTGCATAAAAGGGTACATTGAAGAGCATGGAATTATATTTATTTATTATATTATACCTCAATGATTGGAAAACAAAGAACTATTTTTTCAAATAAAAAACAAAAAAGTGAAAACAAGAAAACAAAGACCTTGGAAGTATATATTTATATTAAACCTCACTGTGTGGGAAAATTACTGATTTCTTGTAGTACAAAACATTAGAACCCTGAATTGCGTAACTTGCATGTCTGTACTCTGATGAGACTTTTCGCTGCATCAGTGAAGGCAAGCAAACAGCCCTCCGATTCTCTGCAGCTGGCCTGTGCGTGTCGCTTCCCCGACCCCGTCGCTAAACTCCCAACGCTTCAAACACTGTCATGCCATGCATGCCCCGGGCCGTAAAGGCCATGTTTATTGCTGCGGTCGTTTGCGGCACGGTATGCTTCAGTCCGTCGTCCGTGGTTTACATTACGTGTCAACGACGAGCTTGGCCCTGGCGTGGCCAGACTCCACCCTGTACTGGTCGCCGACGCCGAAGTGCGCCATGAGCAGCCACACCACGGTGAGCAGCTCGCCGCCCTGGCTGAGCTGCCGGGCGTGGGCGCCCCCGCCACACTTGCCCGCCGCGTAGCAGAGCATCTCCACCCACACGCTGGCGACGAGCCGCCAGCGCTTGGCCTCCGTGGCGCCCTCCAGCTCCAGCAGCTGCCTCGCGAGCTTGCACGCCTGGAACAGCACCGACTTGCTCCGGTCCCCCTTCACGTCCCGCGGCTCGGCGATGGACGTGTCCACGGCCCGGAGCCTGGCCGCGCACCCCGCCTCGTCGCCGGCCTCGTCGGCTCGCCGGAAGAAGCTCTTGGCCTCCGCGCAGGTGTCCCCGAACCGGATCTGCCCGATGCTCGCCGTCATCATGAACGGGCGCATCACCAGGAGGAACAGCATGTAGCTGGATATCTCCCTGCTCAGCGCCGGCAGAGCGTCACCGCCGCTGCCGATACCGTCTTGGCTCGCGTAGAAGCAGAGGTCGGTGGCGATGTGCCAGAGGAGGATGCTCTCGTCGAACTCGCAGTCGACGCTCCAGCCCAGCTGCTGGTACAGGCCCTTGCGCTGGAGCGCCCACTGGCCGCGGTGCTCGCCGAGCTTCCGGTAGCTCTTGGGGTCCATGGTGCTGCTGGCCTTGCTCTTGAGCTGCTCGAAGACGAGGCGCTTCAGCGGCTCCGACACGGCGATCTTCTTCGTGTACCTCCAGCTGTCCCACATGGTCTTCACGCGGATGTTCCACCTCCACTCCAGCCACTCCATGAGCGCCTTGTACCAGCGGCGCTCGTCCCTGAGGCAGTAGCTGAGGAGGTTGTACTGCGACATCTGGTCCGACCACCTCGGCCTCGTCTCCGGCTGGAAGAACTCGATGAGCCAGAACACCACCTTCGCCGCCGGCCGGAGCCGCTCGCTGGCCCGCAGGTCGGCGTACGTCCAGGGGGAGATGGCCATCAGGAGGATGGCGTAGGTCTCCAGGAAGACGGCGCCGCCCAGGAGCACGTAGGAGATGTCGACGTCGACGCTCGCGTAGCCGTAGCCTCGCATCTCGCCGGCGGTGCGCGCGAAGAGCACGAGCGACACGACGGGCGCGGCCAGGGTGAAGACGCGCAGGCCCCGACCGAGCCAGCCGTGGATCACGGGGGCCTTGGAGTGGAGGGACTCGTACATGAGCACCAGCTCGATCTCCACCACCTTGAACGCCTGCTCCATCTCCAGCTTCCGGAAGAAGGCGAGGCTGTCGATGCGGTCCTGGAAGCTGAGGATGAGGTCGACGAAGAGGCGGCGGAAGGTGTGGAAGAGCCGGTGCGCGCTGTACACCAGGTCGCTGTACGCCACCCGCTTCACCTCCACGCGGGTGTCGTCGTCGGGAGGCCTCTCCGGCACGATGACGATCTTGGCCACCAGCCCGGCGTCCCTCCTCGACTGGCACTCCTCCACGAACTTGGCGTAGTTGGGGCCCGGGTCCGGCGGCGTCAGCATGGAGCTGCGCAGGCTGCCCATGCTCGCCGCCCTGAGCGCCAGCGTCCGCTCGCCGTACTTGGTCACGCCGGCCACGAACATGACGACCGCCGGCACCATGAGCCGGACGCCCGGGCGCGACTTCCAGTAGACGTACCCGGCGAGGACGACCTGCGAGACGAGGCTGAGCAAGTGGCGCAGCCAGAGCTCGTTGTCCTCGACGGCGAACGCGGTGATGGTGTCCTGGCCGCCGAGGTGGAGGATGAGGAACGGGGCCCAGAAGACGAGCACGTGCATCTCGGCGTCCCGGGACCCGTCGCAGAGCTTCTGGTTCTGGGATAGGTTGCCTAGCGCGTAGATGGCGACGTAGTCGGCGAGCAGGTATGCCAGCCAGAGCGGCATTCGCAGCCACCACTCGGCGACGCGCTTGCGCAGGCCGCCGGCGAAGAGGAGGAAGACCTGCAGGGCGAGGCTGGAGAGGACCAGCACGCGGATCTCCCACTCCCCCCATACGTCCCAGGCATGCTTCAGCTTCATCTCCGACGATCCACTCTGTTCCAGCAACTCAGAGGCTTATCTGTATGTGATGTGAGCCTCGTTGCCTCTGCATCCAGAGCACTGCAGCTGCACGCCAAAGGACATGGACGGCAAGAGAAGCACGCTGTTTCCTCTTCAGGCAGAGGCGCAGAGCTCAGAGGTTTCCTGCCTACGGGCTACGGCCATGGCGATCGGTACAAGACATCGACACATTGCCGTTGACTGGCACAGGTCCTGTCAAAATCAGTTTACCAAAGCAATCATTCCTTCCGATTTAAATAGGATATATGTCTCCTAAATAATAAATTAGTTCTGCTAGGTGAAATTTTTCCTTCCTACTACACTCAGAAACTTCCCCATCATCCAACAATACGCAGACAACACGCTCCTAGTGATGCAAGCTGATGCTAGGCAGCTTCTTCTTCTTCTTCTTCTCCTAGTGATGCAAGCTGATGCTAGGCAGCTTCTTCTTCTTCTTCTTCTTCTTCTCCTTCTCCTCCTCCTCAAAGTCCTATTGAACTCCTTCACTGATGAGTCGAGTGAGTCCGCAGGTTTAAGAGTCAACTGCAACAAATTACAAATCATTCATGCTGCCAGTCAATGTCACAGCAGAGAGTGTTCGGCTGTCATTATAAGTCGGCTTATAAATTATGGTACAGTATTTTTCTCTTCCAACAAATCAACCGTACAAATCAACACAAACGGCTTTACGAGCAGCCGAACAGAGCCTAGGTTTGGCCACAGGAACGACCAAGCCTCGAATTGATGACTTCACACCGATGATGGACAGAATTGAGCGCAGGCTTACCTCCTGTTCCTCGCTGCTCTCTTGCTCAGGAAGATTGGAGATGATAAACTCAGGCCCCGTTTGTTTCACTGAAAAAACAAGCAAAAACACTGTTCCGGCTGATTTGTTGAGAGAAAAATACTGTTTCGGCTGAAAAAAAAAACTGAAGAGTACAGATTATAAGAGAAGCGAACAGGACCTCAGTGATCACACCCATCGTCAGATATACCATCTGCACCCTGAAGCTCCCCATTGACAACATTGACAGAGCTAGGAAACATCTGCACCCTGAAGCTCCCCATTGACAACATTGACAGAGCTAGGAAACATCTGCACCCTGAAGCTCCCCATTGACAACATTGACAGAGCTAGGAAACAATGTCTTTGGTGCTAAAGCCAAAGGACAAAGGCGGACTAGGCGTCCTAAACCCCAGGTTATAGAATAGAATGATGCCCTCCTGATGAAACATCTTCACAAGTTTTTTACGACAAACAAGACACAATTGATCTAGAACAGATATTACACGGTCAAGGTGCCGCATGCGGCTAGAGAAGTTGGATCTTTCTAGAGGCTGAATAACCTGTATAGAAGTGTCTATTGTGGGATGACCTCTGGCCGGACAGAATCCTTTCATTGGAATAGACCAGTGGCTTGGATTTATTGGTGTTCTTAAGTTCCTCCGTCATATGTGACCTGGATTTGTGTTTGCAGCTAGCGTGACAGTAGAGACACCACAAGAGAACCGAGCGTAGCTGGGGTGTCAAGGCCCGGTGTCTGGGACCTTGCCGGCCGGAGTTTGAGCCCCCGTGGCTGTGAATTTTTGAACTCTCACTGGAGTTCGCCCCCAATAATATTATGTTGCCTTTCACGTGGAGCCACGAAGGGTATGCGACGCGCCTCATCGTCTACGAGTCCATAGTTGGATCTGATGATCTCACAAAGGACGCGATCTAATGATCTGAGTATAGTTGTAGGTTAGTTTGTGTACGTGTGGTGTGAACGTGGTGTGCGTGTATAGGATTGATGTGAGTTTGTACATGAACAGATACTACAGCTATACTCAAATGAGAGGGAAAAAAATAGAGACACCACAAGCTTAAATAACGGGACGTTTGGATAGCTTGCCAGGAAAGGCCAAAATAGTGAAGATGGCTAGTACGCGTTTAGATGATATAATAGGTCAGCTTTATCTTGAAGTCTGCGCTGGCAAGGATTCACCTTGCCATGGTAGGAGGAACGTTCTCTTCTCTATTACTGAGAATTCATCCACTCTCTATCCCCGTTAATCGTCTCGGGTATAGATTCTTGTCCATCTCCGTATCAGTCGAGTATCGGTCGGGTAACAGATACCCGACGGGTACTGTATACCCGATAAATAAGGACACTTGGGGTCGCAATTTTGCAATCGGAGACGTTTCTTTTTCACCCAGGTATAAGTGTCGGAGTCTCGAAAATACCGAGGAGAAGGAGCGATGTTGCGAGGAGAATGGGCAAAGGTGGCAGAGAGACCAAATTGAGGAAGCGAGGGGCACGAGCGCTCGTGAGACATGCGTGCTTATGCTGCTGGCGGAGATGGTGAGGAAAAATTGAACTAGGGTTCCTAGAACACACAAACTATATATATGATTGTTCAGATTTGGACCAAAATATCTACGTTGAGCTTCTTTGGGCCTAATACTCGTATGACAGCTTAAATAGTCGGGTTCCCCCATCGGGTAACAGGGACGGATAAACAGAGAACGTTCCCGTACCCGCTATACCTGTCGAGGATGAATTTCTATCCATTTAAATATCCGTAGGTAAAGATACGATCATATCTTTACCCCTGTTGGATTACATATCCGTCGGGTATCGGGCGTGGGGCCGTTGCCATCTTTAGCCACGCGGGAAACGGCCCCTAAATTAACGTGCCGGCAGTCGTCTGGCACGAGCGGGGCTAGAGGTTCGTCGTGTTGTGTCTGAGGCTCTGAGATCGCCGGCCGGTGAGCCCATAAATAAATAAAATAGGTACGGCACCACGTGAACCGTGCTGGCCCGACTTTAGTGTTTAGTCCGTGAAACGAAAATTTTTGAATATCACATAAGATGTTTCGGGGATATTAGAAATGTTTTTAAATATTAATAAAAAAAACTAATTACATAGCTCATCTAAAAACTACAAGGTAAATTTATTAAGTCTAATTAATCCATCATTAGCGTATGTTAGTTGCTGTAGCACTTATGGCTACTCATGGACTAATTAGTCTTAAAACATTCGTCTCGCGATTTCCAACAAAACTGTACAATTAGTTTTTTTTATTTATATTTAATACTTTATATATATATATCGTAAGATTCGACGTGATAGTATAGGATGAAAATTTTTGGAAACTACACCAGACCTTAGGTGAGCTGTGGGCCGTGCCGTGTCGTGCATTTTTGGACAATTATTATATAGCTGCGCATGTGGCAGAAGAGCCGCAGAGGGGTGCCCACCGGCCACGGCGGTGGATTCCAACCAGCGTCTTCACGGACCAAGTATCAAGTGCTTACCACCACACCATACAAGCTCATGAGATGTTGGATGAAGTTTTAAATTAAATGTATTTACGTTCGTAACACCTTCAGACTTTTTACATTATAAAAACCACACTTATGGTTGGCAAGACAAAGTAAATAAATAAATAGAACTATGAAAATGTGGTATTGCATATATTAGAATTAAAACACTTATGGTTGGCATGACAAAAAAAAAAGAATAAATAAAACTTTGAAAATGTGATATTGCATATATTATATTCAATAATGTTTTTTTAGGAAGCGAGTACTTTGGTGCAATTTGATAATTGATGGCGTGTTTGAGGTACAAATTAAAAGAAAAGCTGAATGATTCCACTGCAACGCATAAATACATTTACCTTTTTAATATTAAAGGAGGATATTTCTTGCCTGACATTGCTCACAGCCATCCATAGGATCTAGGGATCTGACGGATCAAATATCTCATGAATATAAGAGTTAGAGTGACATGTTCAAACATAGTACTGAGCTCCGTTCCAAAATGAATTAGATTACGTGAACCGGTTGGGTTCCTGTGGTGAAACATGTTCACTCGGGCTTAAATCCTTCATTTTGCATGGGTGTTCGTATTTTTCTAGATTTATTCCAGAATTTAACGGCGCTATACTTTCGATGTTAGGCGACGTCTCCATCAACAAGAGGCGTCTATGGTGACTTTATAAATCTCGAGATCTGGCAGCTCAGTCCTTCGGAGGTACTCATAGAAGTAGGGTTTATGTGCGTGTATTCATATGGGTGAGTGTGCATGTGTATTGTGGGCATCTAGTTGTAATGTGTAATTTAAAAAAATAAATTAGATTATGGAGTGTTTTCATAGTCTCACCATAAGTTAGAGTAGCGTACGACCAGACACAGTATAAAAGTCCGATTTCAAAGTGAATACAAACACATGATGCAACCGTTGAAATAAATCTTCTAGTCATAGGTGGTCTAAGTGATCATACAATAAGCTTCTGTTGTAATGTACGGGTATATTTGCTAGTCATACTTATTTTATATTATAAATGTTAGTACTTTTTATATAAATTTAGTCAAAATTCAAACAATTTGACTTTAAAAAACGAGAATTGGACGAAGGGAGTACTGTTAACAATGACAGGTTCGACGTACCTTCTATCCAGACACTAAAAACAAATGAGGAACATCCAAACTAGCGTTCCATATCTTGGATTCTAGCGGTCCACTTTGGCAACTAGGAGGTTGGTTTATGGCCCTTCAATTCACAGGAAAAAACGAGCATAGATACCTTTTATAAGAAGAAAAAGTCTACTTTTGAGTCCCTCACTGAGATTTTTTTTTCATTTTCTGAATAAGTACTTCAATAGGCATATTATTAAATGATGTCAAGTCGCGGGCCATATTTAAATACGGTAATGCTAGGTATAGATCGTCCGTCGACCCGGATAGTGTTGATGGTGGGCTGCAACGTAGGCCAACGACCGCTCATCCACTCGTCCTCGCCCCCAACCGTTCTAAGAAAAAGGAAAAAACCTTCTTATCCCTTCCGCTATCTCCTCTCCACCACCTCGCCTTGCGGCTGCCACTCTGACCGTGTTGTCCCGAACGCGGATGTCACTTTGCCTCGCTGCTGCCGCACGCTCCATCCGGCGCTGCTCGCTCGCCCCCATCACGAGCGCTTCTTGCCCCCTCCCG